TTTATTAATTGCCCAATCCCTGCTATTGCAGGGCTCTGGACGATGTGCCATATCCATAAAACACAATCAGATAAAATCATTGAACATTAAGAATGAGTCCTTGGGAAATGGGCGAGTCCTTGGAAAATGTGAACTTTCCAGTCCAGACAACAGGAGCGAAATTTTGTGGAGATCAGTGGACTGCAGCGGGAAGCGGGAAGCAGGAAGTGAGGAAAGCTCAATTTCTGCATTTGGAAAATTTAGCCCGGATCCAACCTAATGTGCTCAGAAAACATGCTTTCCAAAAAGATGGTAGCAAAGCAAATTTGAGAGACAGTGTACCAAGGATGGGGGAAACTTGGGTAGGGGTTGGTTAGAGGACAACCTCATGCAGATGCTGTGCAAAAAAAAAAATACACTCCAATTTTGAAGCAATGCCAGAGAGAAACATTTGTGTGGAAGCAGTCTGTGTAGTTATGTAGAGTAACCTGAGAGTTAGTTTCCCCCCATGTACAACTAACTCTCGTTACCCCATGTGCATGCCTTCATTGCAGCTAGCTAGACTTAACCTTGGAGACAGTGCGAGAAGGGGGTGAGGAGAGGACGAAGAGGCAATGCACACCTGATTGATAGCAAAATGTGCACATGTGCACATTTTAAGATAGTAAAGGTAAAGGTTTCCCTTGCTCAAAAGCCAGTTGAATCTGACTCTAGGGATGCGGTGCTCATCTCCGTTTCCAAGCCAGCGCTGTCCAAAGACATTTCCGTGGTCATGTGGCCGGCATGACTAGACGCCGAGGCGCACGGAACGCTGTTACCTTCCCACCGAAGTGGTACCTATTTATCTACTTGCAATTTCTTGCTTTCGGACTGCTAGGTTGGCAGGAGCTGGGACCAGAAACGGGAGCTCACTCCGTCATGCGGCACTTGGGTCTCAAACCGCTGCAGTTTAGCGTCTTAATCTCTTGAGCCATCCATGTTCAGAAAGAGAGAGAGGGATAGCATTTTAAGATAGCTGCCGTTAAATTTGTCATCTGAACACAGCCATCCTCTACAGCCGCAAGGCCAAGAAGCAAGTGAGATAAAGATCATTCCTCTTCTTGTCTTTATCAGCTGCGGCCAGAGGATAGTTTTTGAGTCGCAGGAGGCTGTGGTCCCACCAGGCGAAACACCTCTTTTTGTTTGGGGCCTGATATTTATGCAGATCCACCTGGGAGGTAAACAGACACGCAAAGCGATGAGTCTTACATACATCACTTGTATGCAGCTTCAGAATTGCCCCCAAAGCTGCATGAGATTATTGCAAGCATCAGTGAAATGGTCTTTATGGTTGAGAATGCTGGCATGGTAGGTATCATTCCCAGAAAGCAATGTAGATGAGAGAAGAAATAGGTGCTGGATACTTCTGTGTAGGCGTATTGGTTAGCTGAACAGCGGGAGCTCACCAGTGTTCAGCAAGAGAGGGGGGGGGGAGAGAGAGACAGGATTTGTGGGCAATTCTGCATTGGCTTTTCCCTCGGTTGTTTTACTAACCCCCCCCCCCTTGGAGCAGAAAGTCCCCTCTGCATTGCATGCTGCTTTCACTTTCTTAGATCATCGGATTTTAATGGTACCTTCTGCATTGCATGCCGCTTTCACTTTATTTGATCATCGGGTTTTATGGTAGTTTCTGCATAGCTTTATATAGCCGTTCAGGGGTGACTTCGCAGTCATTACGACGTTGCCCCAGGGTATTTGAATGTGGTTTTGTGCTCCACCTTTCCCTCGGTGTTGAGAAAAGGTGAACCGAATGCCAGATGCAGAGTCGCCCTGTGTGGCTTTCTAGCTGATGTTCAGAACCTGCTCTCCCTTCAGTTGGCAAGAGGAGCATGTAGGTGCTTAAATCTACAACTACATAAGAACATAAGAGACGCCAGTGTTGGATCAGGCCAAAGGCCCATCCAGTCCAACACTCTGTGTCACACAGTGGCCAGAAATACCAGTGCCATCAGGAGGTCCACCAGTGGGGCCAGGACATTAGAAGCCCTCCCACTGTTGACCCCCCCCAAGCACCAAAAAGACAGAGCATCACTTGCCCCAGAGCCCCTATCTCCGATAGATTCCCACACCAACTGATTCCTAGGAGTCTGTTATTGTGTTAGCTGCAGTGGTCAGCAATGCCTAGATCAGGGGTGTCGAACTCATTTGTTATGAGGGCCGGAGCTGACATAAATGAGACCTTGATGGGCCAGGCCATGTGTGCCATTAAATGTAATGCCAGGTAGCGGAGATATAAACTTTATAAAGGACACAAACACAAAGGGTTTTTTTAACTTAAAATAAAAATGCTTAAAACATTAGCACTCTTGCAATATTTTGTTTATTTAACAGTGTCTGATAACTGACACCTCTTGCTCTGAATTATTGCATCAAAATGTCTGTGCTGTTGCAATCTTGAGTATGCTGCTCAGGTGTGTATCTGTAAGCTGCAAACCTACGATGACGCAGCAGCAGCAGAACTGGAGGAAGAAGAAGATGACAGCCAGTTCCACTGCGGGCCTGATAGAAGGCCTCTGGGGGACTAATCTGGCCCCTGGGCTGCATGTTTGACACCCCTGGCCTAGATGTTCAACCTCTGTCCCCGTTCGTGTCTCTCTCCAAACCGTTTTGATGTGCTACCATGGGGGGGTTGTGACATTTCACAATTTAAGAGCCAAACACTGTCAAAATTCAGAGCAAGAGATTAACACACAGCCATTATAAGAGCAATAATTTGAATAACTGAAAGTATACAATTTGACAGTACTAATTATTGACACATGGATTAATAATCCATAAACTCCCTGCAGTGTATTGTGATGTGTATTATGAAGTGGCACACGAGAAGTCACGCAAGGGGCGGAGAGAACGGTGGTGCAAGTACCAGGATGTCACCTCCGGGTAACCTGGAAGTGATATCATGGCATTTGTGATGCTCCTCCTCCCTAGGCTCTGCCCCCAAAAGCTACTAGAGGTTGTAGCCACAGGGATGGAAACCCTATTTGCTTCCAAGGACCTTGTTTACATGAAACAGCCCATATTTTATTTACCAGCAATCAGGCCTTTCTAATTGGCAATGCAAGCTCAGATTCACATTAACCCGTTGCTACTTTTTGGATAAAGCAGTGAATCTGTAAAGATGGTACTCTTCCTCCCCCATGTGATTCATACACTATCTCCCATATAAATAAAAGCCGAATGGTGGTGGCACTTCTCTAGAACATTTCACACGCTCCAAAATCAGTTCGCTCTCTGATCTGTCATTCAGAGGGTCTCCCTATCCACTGGCCGCTTTGCCTGAGTCCTGCCTCCAACATTCTAAACATTTTGCTAATCCTCTCCCCCGCATAGCCAATCAGAACACAGAGGTTATTTGCATATGCAGCCTCATTGGCCTCTGCCTTAGAACACAGAGGTCATTTGCATATGCAACTTGATTGGCTTTTGCCTCTAACATTCTAAACAGTTTTGCTGTTCTGAGGTAAAATTTGTCCAATCTCCAGGTGAGGTCTGGAGATCACTCAGAATTACAACTGCTTTCCAGATGGCAGAGATCAGTTCCCCTGGAGAAAATGGTGGACTCTGTATCCTTATATGCTGCTGAGGTGACCCCCGTATGACAGCCAATGTGACGTAGCAGTCAGGGCTTCAGAGCCTGGGAGAGGCTGCAGGTGTGTGGGGGGTGGAAAGCTGAAGAGTGAGGGGGAAATAAAGGTAGGTTGATGATTGTCTGGGAAGGAGATAGGGTTGCCAACTCCAGGTGGGAAATTCCTGGAGATGTGAGAGATGGAGCCTGGAGAGGGTGAGGTTTCAGGAGGTGTGGGACCTCGGGCAGGTACAGAGCCATAGACTCCACCCTCCAAACCAACTATTCCCTTCTGGGGAACCGTCGTTGCCAATCTTCAGGTGAGGGCTGGAGATCACTCAAAATTACAACTGTTCATTAGGTAGCAGAGATCAGTTCCTCTGGAGAAAATGGTGGACTCAGTGTCATTATACCCTGCTGAGGTCGCCACAGCAAATTGACACTGAGTGTCCAAGGCCGTGGCACCCGCCCAGAGCCTCTTTCTAGAGGTCGTTGTATTTATTTCCACAACGGGCCTTTTTCCTAGTCAAAGAATAGTGTCAAAGGAATAGCACCGGTGGTTTCATTTTTCTTCTACCCTTTTCTGACCTCTAAATATCTTTATGGATCTCCCAAAACCTCCTTTCATATGACACATTTGGGAGCTACGAACCACGAGTATATTGTGGATCTTCATCCCCCCTTCCTCATTCTTTTTTTTTGGGTGAGTGTATGCAAATAATATGATATAGGTGCTAGGAAAGTGTAAGATGTCATCATGTTACTAGGATAATTCAGCCAGCAGGCCAAGAACCAGTTTTGCCAGATGTGTGGTCCTTGGAAGAAGAAGGGGGGGGGGGAGGATTTGTACCCCGACCTTCACTTGGCGTCTAAGCAGCTGAGAGAGCTCTCAGAGAACAGCTCTTGAGAGAGCAGTTCTGAGAGAACTGTGACCGATCCAAGGTCACCCAGCTGGCTGCATGTGGAGGAGTGGGGAATCAAATCCAGTTCTCCAGATTAGAGTCTGCTGCTCTTAGCCACTCCACAAAAGTGGATTTGGCACTCTTTCTCCGGCTTGGAATGTATTCCCACTATCTCTGCCTTAAACCAAAGTACAAGGAAAACAAAAGAAGGAGGGGAACCAGCTTACACAGTTTATGGATTTCAAGATTATATGAATTTTCCAGGAGGTATATGAGTCCACTCTATGATGAATGTATGTCAAGTTGGACTATGGAATTACAAAGTACGGTTGAGTGCCTCCAGGTGGGGCCTGGAGATCTCAAGGAATTACGACTGATCTCCAGACTGCAGAGATCAGTTCCCTTGGACAAAATAGTGGCTTTGGATGGGGGGGGGGGCTCTGCAGACTCCCCTCCTCAAACCTCACCCTCCCCAGGCTCCACCCCCAAATCTCTGGGAATGTCTCGACCAAGATCTAGCAACCTGAAGCCAAAGTCTCCAAATGCTGGACTTCTGAGTGTTGGTGCCTGGGAGTTTGTGGGCTGCCTGGCTGCTGAAGACAACTTCCAAACTCTTGGATTGTGGAGAGGCAGACGATGGCATCGCAGCAGCAGCTGAAATAAGGCAGGAGGAAGGCCACCTGGCACCCTGAAATGAAGCCCGGAGAAGATCTGGCAGGCGAGTCCAGCCACATCACCAGAAGGAAGTAGAGAATGTGATAGGGGAGCCAGCATAAGAAGAACGTAAGGAGGAAAGTGAAGGGGTGTTTGATGAGCTCCCTGGATTGGGGGTGGTATAACTTCTTTTGCTTGCTTGTATGGGTGCTGTAGCAAATCATCATCAAGGTGAGCAAGCACAGGAACCAGATGAAGAAACTGGTGGCAAGAGGTCTCATGGTCATCCATTCATCCAGGTCGCTTTTGGGGTCTTTGGACGACATCGCTGCTTCCCAGAGGTCATGGTACCCCATGCTGAATGCAAAGGACAAAGCCCAGATGACCAGAGTAGCCATAAGAGCCCATTGGAATGCCCGGGTTTTTTCAAACCACGCAGGGGAGGCCACGGAGAGGGTACAACAGGTGGTCATGGCGGCCAAGAAAAAAGCCCTGGAGACCATGTGCACGGCGGTGATGCTGCTGTTCAGTGTCAGAAGGATATCGAAGCTGGTGCTCATGGACCAAACTCTGAGGGGTAGGAGGGAGATGAAGACGAAATCCACAATGGCCAGGTTGAGGGACCACACCAGGTCGATGGCCCTCTCTTTTCCGTGGAAGACAATGAAGACGGCGGAGCCGTTTAACATCAGCCCGGCGAGGAAAGCCAGGCCATACACCACCAGCAGCATCTTTAGCGAGACTCGTGTGAACGACACTTTGTGTTTCTTCGGAGAGCCTCTCGCAGTGCACAATGCAGAACCTGTGCTGAAAAAAAAATTAAAAGAAAGCAGAAACAGTAAAGAGAACCATGAAGGGTGCAGCAGGCAGTTATGGAACTGCCTGATGCTGAAAAGCTGCATCAACAGGACGTCTGTGGGCTCTTTTTGTAGCAGGAACACCTTTGCATATTAGGCCACACACCCCTAATGTAGCCAATCCTCCAAGAGCTTACAGAGCTCTTCTTACAGGAGCTACTGTAAGCTCTTGGAGGATTGGCTACATTAGGGGTGTGTCGCTTAATATGCAAATGAGTACCTGCTACAAAAAGAGCCCTTGACCTCACAAAGAAGGAGCTGCCGGGAAGCTGCCAAATCAGCAAGAAAGCCCGTAGCTTAAAGGCACAGCTCCACAAGAATTTCTCCTGTAGATGCCTTTTTTCAATTATTTAAAAACATTTTTTTTAAAAGTGTGCACTTTTTGAAGTAGAGTGGGGGTGCTGTAGTTTAATTCCCGCACTGAGCCAAGGGGGTTGGAGTAGGTGACCTCTAGGATCCCTTCTAACTCTGTGTCAAGAAACTGGTCTCCTTTAAGACAGGTTTTCTGCCTAGGTGTTAGCTTTCTTGACTATAGAAATCATCACCCCCACCTGCCAACTTGTTATCGGAATTGTTGCTTAGGCTGGCAGAAGTGATGAACTTGTAGCAGCTGAGAACTGTCACCTAAAGTGGTTGATAGCTTGCAGTTTAAAGATCTACCCTGGTAACAGCTTTCGATTGGCTAAATGCCTTTTCTTTCTGCACTGAGAACTTCAGCCCCACCAGAAAAAAAGTGCCCCACAAGCCACAAAATCTTGGCTAAGGGCCTGGCAGCAAGCCACACCTCACTCATAGGCAGCACCAGGTCAGGTGATGCTCCCTGAAAGATTTCCAGGTTGTACTATTTCTAGGTCCATTGATAAAGACTCCCAGAATGAGGAGTGCTTTAAAACAGTTGGTGGACAGCCCTATTGTGTAGGTTTAGCTGTCTGCATGGAAGCCAGCCCTGGGCTATTGGGTATAGCAATTCTTTTAGCAAAGATTTCAATGAGGTCTCACTTTAGCCAGCATCGTAGCAGTAAACCCCTTTACAGAAACCAGACAGCAAACTCATAAACACATTAAAATGCGATCTTAGACTTCATAGAACTCAGCCGCGTCGCTTTATTTTGTAAGTTATGTTTTTGAAGCTTCAGAGTGTGTGGCAACTGCTGTGGCTAGACCTGTGGGAGCGTGCGTTGCATAAGTGTAGGGCAGAAAACGGACTCATAAGCTGCACACGAGAAGGCCTTGTGCTGATATGACAATGCATGTCCCGAGTGAATTACTTATTGAGGATGTGTTTGGAGAGGGTGGATCAGGAATTCTTTTGGTCGGATTGCATTGCAAGCTTTGTATCAGTTTTGCCACACTGGGGGGGGGGGTCAGCAAGGGACAGGCTGCATAGTAGGGTTGCCAAGTCCCCTCTGGCCACCGGCGGGGGGTATGAGGGTAGGGTTGCCAGATCCAGGTTTGGAAACTCCTGGAGATTTGGGCGTGGAGCCTGGGGAGGACAGGTACACCGGTGGGGTACAATGCCATAGAGTCCACCCTCTAGAGCATCCCTTTTCTCCAGGGGAACTGATCTCTGTAGTCTGGAGATGAGGTGTAATTCCGGGGGATCCCCAGGTCCCACCTGGAGGCTGGCATCCCGCTGGCAGGGATGGGGGGTTAGGGTTGCCTAATCCAGGTTGGGAAACTCCTGGAGATTTGGGGATTGATCCTGGGGAGGACAGGGAGCTCAGTGGGATTCAATGCCATGGAGTCCACCCTCAAAGCATCCATTTTCTCCCGGGGAACTGATCTCTGTAGTCCGGAGATGAATTCCGGGGGATCCCCAGGTCCCACCTAGGTAGAGTCTGGCATCCTTACTGCCACCAGTTTGCTGTATATACAGTGGGCTCTAATCGGGGTGGAGCTACGCCTAAAAAAAGGCATTCTGGAACAAGAGAAATGTCTTTGTAATCGCTTGCACTGTCTTTAGGTTTGCTTAACAAAGAAGTCGGAGAGTGATTCAGCAAGAACACAGCTTTATTCTTCAACTCGAACACAACTCCAACACGGATCAACACCTGATAGCCAGAACAGCCTTTACATTGCAGCTGTCCTGCTTTTAAACATTCCAGGCTAATGTTGCCACACCCACTGTACAAATACCAACCAATGAGGTTGTTCACATAAGGACCAATCACGGATGATCTTCTTCGTGGTTTCTGTGCTTCACACCAATGGGTTTAGTGCGCCTGCGCTGACCCAACCGGTGCTGTAGCAAGCTATGTTTCAAAGGATTTTCGCGCGGGTCCCACTGAGCATGCGCAGGAACCCCAGCGAGCATGCCCAGAGGGACGGGCGCGGACATCCCACCAGTTCTCTCTCTACCGCCGCGTTGAAAGGACCTTTTTGCCTTTCCTCCTGACCGGATAGCTATTACTGCCTACGGGCCTTTACCTCATTTCTTTGTTTCTTAGGATCATCCTCCGTTTGATTTTGTCCTTTAGTTTTCTTTAAAAAAAAAGAAAGAAGAAGAACAAGAACTTTTGTTTTCCTGAGGGGAATCTCCTCAGGCCTTCGGGCCTTCCCCCCCCTTTTTTCCCTCATCACTTTTCCCCGGCATTTGTTTTTTCCCGCCGCATGGAAAAGAAAAAGAAGAAGAGTCAGAAGTGGGGCTTTTTCAACCGCTGTAAGAAGTGTGGAAGTAAATTGGCCCCTCCAGACGGCCATGAGCTTTGTTTGTTCTGCTTAGGCGAGTCGCATAGAGCAGATACTTGTAAGCATTGTGCTAGATTTTCTAATCAGACAAAAAAGAACCGTGCCGCACGGTTAAAGGTCGCTCTGTTGGAATCCGCTCTCCACCCGCCTTCCGCTATGCCGGACCAACCTTCTACCTCACGTGCATCCGTCGATACCGGGGCATCGATACCGACGAGATCGACATCGAAGGTCGCATCAAAACAGTCCACTAAAGGCAAGTCTGGGAAGGAACATTCCACAAAAAAGGACAAGCAGTCCAAGTCGTCTAAGGAGGGTAAGACCGGGCCCTCTGAGGGCGTTCCTTTGCAGAACCCCCCACCGTTACTGCCGGAGTCTACGGCTGCGTCGACATCGAAGGAT